CATGTAGCACACAAAGCAAAAGAAGAAAGTAGAAGAAATGCACTCGTTTTATTTTCCATCTAATTGTAATTGATCAATAACAGTCGTATTATTATTTCTGAATGTACATTATCTCATACTGAATTTTATTCCAGTACCTAATCGATTCCACACATGTAAATAAATGAGGGAAAAAGTTGTGTGAGTAACTTGATATGATTATGACAAATAGTTTATGCTCGAAACGTCATCAGTTAATATTACTGTACACAACTGTGTGATTTATCAAAATAAAGTCTTATCCATAATGGAGTTCGAAGAAATGCAAAATAGAGAGAGTAGACAGGGATATGAGACAAAAGGAATAGTAATAACGAAGAACGATACAGTTTCACTGAAAATTATAAGTCACAAGAAGTGGATGCATCTGCGCCATTGAGAACGATTTTGAGCCATGTCACCAATTGTTTCCAACCATTGGTTTTTACCGTCCCGAGGACCCCAACCAGGAAGTCTACACCTTCCTACGTGGCTTAGACTAACTGTTGTAGATTTCAGTGACTGGTGCTATGTTTTGGTTTGACCGCTGCTAGCTCTTTTCCAGCCTGGCCCTATGTCAGCTAACATTACCCGTCGAGGAAGGCGATGGCCAGGCAGACATGAGCAACACATGTCCTAACCACCTCAGTCGATGTAGCTTCACAGCCTCGTCGATTGATTTCCCCTCCTTACCTAGCACTCGATGCCTAAACTCAATATTGCTCACCCTATTATGCCACTTCACACGGGAGATAGAACGCAGTCACCTATGATCAAAGAAAGATAACCGGCCTTCTCATGTCTTCCACTCTCAGTGGCCAGGTCTCACAGCCATAAAGGAGGACGGAGCGGATTGCTAAGCAGTACGCCTGCCCTTTGGTCGATGGCCGGATATCACGTCTACGCCGTAGACGGCGAAACTAACCCTCTGTATTCGTGCTGAGATTTCTTCGGAGATCAAACCGTTGGGGCTGATGGTACTTCCCAAGTAAGTGAAGCGGTCAACGTGCTCTACCACTTCACTTCCTATTTCTAATCTAGGGGTCGGTGAAGTCCAATCTTGCAGCATCATCTTACATTTTACAGGGGCGAATCGCTTGCCAAACATACGAAGATTGTTGCTCAAGGTGCTCAGAAGACTCTGCATTTTGTCAGCATATTCACCCAGAAGTACTATATCATGTGCATATTCTAACTCAGCGAGATTATTCCATGATAACAAGTAGTTGAAGTGAGTTACGGTTAAGTCCATTAGTACATCTACTATGACATTGAATAGAAATGGGGATAGTGGGCATACCTGACTGACACCACTAGTTGTCGCCAGTTCAGATGACATCTCGCCTTAAGCTCCCAACTGGCTGGTTGCATGAGTTCAAATAGAGTACCTTAATCAGTGCAATGTATTTTCCCGGCATTCCCTTCACATCCAAACATCACCATTGTACATCTCGGTCGACGGAATCGAATGTCGCTTTCTGGTCAAGAAATATGACGATTGTTGGACGCCGGTAAGCATGCCACCTGTTTTCCAGAATCTGTTGAAGGGTGGAGATATGACCAATACACCCTCTTCCTGGTCTAAAGCCTTCCTGGTTCTCTCATGTTTGTTCCACCTGGGCACCACTTATTCTACGCATGATTATTGAGCCTAGAACTTTAAATGCCATATTAGTCAAGCTAATCCCCGTGTGATTATCACAGGAAGACTTGCCTCCCTTCTTGTATATGGGGATAATCAATGACTTACACCGACCCGACGGGAATTCCTGATTCCCAGACGCTGCCTAGTACCTTAGTTAACACAGATAGTAAACTGTCTCCACCGTACTTAAATACCTGTGGAGTCATTCCATCGGGTCCTGCTGCTTTGCCTCGTTTCAGACTAGTGACAGCCTTAGTAACCTCAGTTAGGGACGGTGGACCTGTGTCTATATCTCATTCAAGGAGGTGTTGGATGTTCTGTAAGTTGAATGTGGCTGTAGGCCAATTAAACTGCTCCTCAAAGTGTTCTTTCCAGCGTTTTAGTCCTCTATCTTGGGAGCCAATTATCGTGCTATTTTTCTCAGAGATTGTTTCACTTATCGTTTGCCTTTTACCACCTGTTTCCGTGATAAGTCTAAATAGTTGTGTGGTGTTACCAATCGCCAATGCCTTTTCCATCTCTTTCGCTTTTGTCGCCCACCACTGTTCACGGTCGTTACGAAGGCTTCTTGTTAGTTTGCGTTTGAGTAGCTTTCGCTCTTCATCATAGTCGAAGCTCGCCGGAATTAGTCTTCTTGCGTCAGTCAGTTCGGATGAGGCAGTAGAGATCCACTAGCTCTTACTAACTTTCGGTTTCAGGTTATTAACAGCTTCTTCAGCTCTGTCGGCAGTTAACTGTATGTTGTACCAGGCTACCTTAGGGGAAGTCCTGCTGTCGAACTCAGATACACGTTTCGCTATTTCCTCCTTGAATAGGGACACAGAGTCTCGATCTATTTGGGGACGTAACTACTTCGCTGTCAGCAGTGTTTTATGTCCGTTTAGTCGTAAGCATATACGTGCGCAGACTAGAGCGTGATCGGAGTCTACGCATTTGTTCCAATAGGAGCGGCAGTCTTCTGCTGACCCTCGCCAACGATACCCTATGGCTATGTGGTATATTTGACTCCAGCATTGATTTGGTGATGGAGGTCGCTAGGTTACGCAGTATCTCTCTTTGTGCCTAAAGTTATTGCTGACTAGGGAGAAATGATCATCTGAGTAGAACTGTAGAAGACGACCACCGTTGTCAGTTCGTTGGCAGGGAACTCCATACGTGCCATCTACATACTTCTCAGTCTGGTACAACTTCCTTAACTGGGCATTGAAGTCGCCTGATAAAACAACTATATCTGAGCGTTTTGCTTTTTGTAGCAAATTAGACAGTTTCAAGTAGAAATCATCCTTTAGTTCATCCGAATTGCAGTCTGTTGAGGCGTAAGCGGAGACTACGAAAAGACAACGAAGGGTAACACCGTCCTTCCTCCTTCTAACGGACCCGTTCAGACGGACCACACACACGACTATCTACTGGTATCCAGTCAAGAAGTGATTTCTCTGCCTTTAAACTCAATGCTATCCCTACACCTGCGAGTCTTTGCGAACTAGCTGAGTGGTCTCCTGACACCCTTAAAGTGAATTTTGCAGATTCACCTTGTTGGCCTGGTGAGGTTAAGTAAATGACCACACTTGGGTCTTGTATGCGTGTCTCCGAAACACAACATACATCCATGTCTTGAGATGCTAGAGTTCTTGGTAGTGATGCCTGTTGTCGGATTCGGCATAGGATCCTGACGTTAAATGCTGCTATATGAAGTTTGCGACGTGGCTTTAAGAGGCTGTCAGGGGTTTTTCTATGGCTCTCATCGTTGTTTGTGGTCACAAAGTGAAGATGACTCACTAGCCTGAAGAATGGTACTGACTGTAGTAGGGGAGTAAGATGATGAAGGTGATGTAGGTAAGGAAGAATGATGCTCGGGGAGGCTTCGTGTGCTCTTGGAAGTGTGTGGGTAGTTGTTACTTCCCGGCTGCCCTCACTTTCGAATTTCTTTGATTCTTTGGGTACCTGAAACAGAAAGAGTGTTAGTGTTGCGTGACCACAGAGCCCAGGGGACAACTGCTTGAGGCCGGTCACACACGGCCTGTATGAACTGGTTTCTTGGTTTGGTTCCGTATTAGTAAACTTACCGCCGGTTACGGACCACCGTAGGTTAAGTTGAGATGTACGATTGTTGGGGTCGACATTTTCTAACCCACTCTCTCCAGAGTGGAGAGACAGCATAGCTGGCATGCTGGTCATCTGAAGGAAACACCTCACTGCTGTTACATCCCTGTTCCCCAGCAGTACGACTTCGCCCACAGACCCCCAGCATAGTGTAAAAAGAATTCTTACACAATGCCGGCAACTATTTTCAGATTAATCGCTATCCTAACAACCTTCCTGACATTGTAGGACCTGCAGGAACAATAGTTCCAAACAGTGTATCTTGTTGGGTCATTGCGATGTGCAAGCCCAACCACCACCTCAAGGTAGCAGCTATCGGTCTAGGGAGTTATAGCTAATAATAATACAAGCATTCATAATGATAAGATGTGTCGAAATAAATGTAAATGAGCAACCCAATGAAGTAATACATACCTGTATGTGTAGAAATTAGGGCTATTTTTTCATTAGGGTATGCAAGCTTACAACTTTTGATTCACTGGTTGTGAGTAGGGTTTCTGGATTAATTAGCCTCAAGCAAGACAGTCAAGTATTATGGTTACGTGTTGTAGTCATATTCCTATCAGCGAGCTCTTCTTGTGGAATATACTCACTATATTTCCCTTATATCACGATAAATTGGTGGATGTTTTCAATTGATTTATTCAGTTCAAAGTTCAACAGATATAATTTTCAGTTCTTAATGATAGTCAGTTTAAGGAATAATGCAGCTGCTTGCTAATTTAATTCTGATATCCATTTGAGAACTGTGTATTAGTGCCAACTGTGTCAGAAGTTTCTAAGCCTTGTTTCTAATTATTAATAGCCAGTTTGACTGATAGCTAATTATCTACCTCTTTCGTAATAATTATTCTGGGGTCACATTTTCTGATTTTCTCACTAATTTAAGTTATGAGTAAAATTATCTCCGTTAGTGTACTGTTGCTATGTACACCTATAACGTTTAAAGTTCCTTGTGTGATAGCCAATCATGAAATTTAGATATAGATCCATTATGCGCGTATAAAATATTTTCAGTCAATTTTTTTCAATTTTGTCAAAACCTTATTCATGCAATTTTCGTTCTTCACCTATAGTAACAGTAAAATTTTGTTTTTTTTAAAAAAAATTTCTTACAGCTCATCTCAACACAAGTACTAACTTGGATATTTGCGTCATTCGGATATTTTCTCCTTGCACACGATGTTTTCGAAAACACGTCTCATAAATTACAAGAAGTGGACACAGATATACCTAATTATTTAACACCCTCACTGCAATTACCAGATGTCAATTCATCATCGATAAATGAGTCCGTTGGAAATCATTCTACTGAGGCAAAATGGCAACATCTATGTCCATACATGCAGTATAAATGTAACGAGCTACCTGGTTATTGTCTCACTTGTAATTTCAATACATCATGTGTATATGGCATGGTAACTAACGTTACTTGTTCCCCCCGTCGTGGAGTTTACTGTAAAGATCCAGACATTGAAAATAAAAGCAATCATGTCTCGACAACTGATTCCCCACAGTCTTCCTATTACCCCACGGACTATACAGACTGTCTTATTCAGAAGTCAATTATTTGTCGTTATTGTCATCAGTTGGATGATTCTGAAATTGTTTGTATTGGCCGTACTAATTGTCGCCAACCAAATGTAGCTCGAAGTTTTTATGAAACAAAGTGTGAACCGCTTCCACATGTTTTATGTTTAGGAAGAAGGGTCTTCAGGCGCATGGTACCATGTGATTGGTCTTCTGGTAAAAGCTATGCATTAACTGTTATCTTAAGTTTATTTTTTGGAGGTTTAGGTGTTGATCGATTTTATCTAGGTATGTGGATCGAAGGACTGGGCAAATTGTTCAGTTTTGGTGGTCTTGGTTTATGGAGTATTGTTGACTTCATTTTAATAGTGTCTGGTTATATAAAGCCACCTGGAGATGCTGTATATTGGTGATTAGTAACCAGATAGATATATCATAATGGGTTGTTCTGTGGACTTGTATTGGCTTGGTAACTGTAATGTAACAACTAGTTTACACTTTATTTCTTTCCTCGTACAATTGTACTGTACTCTTCTCTTGCTGTCATGATGATGATTAATTTTTGATTTTTGTACATAATATTCAGATTTTTTGTTTTAGATTTCCAGTTTAACATAATTTCAATTCTTTGTTGTCGTTATTTTTAACTGTCGTAATCATCATTTTTAAAATGCTATTGCTTTGACTTTTGTTATAATATATTGATACTCATTTTAGTTACTAAGAATATTAGCGTAGATTTTTCATGTTAGAACGAATATTAAACTGTATTTTTGATGTATCTTATTGAAATAAATAAAACAAAACAGCTTGATTCCACACCGTATTTTCAGTACAAGTATGGAATTTTCAGCATGGATATCGGTAGCCCAAATTTCATGCCGACCATAGATATCGGGTGTGCGCCGGCAGGGGATCGAACCCCGGAGCATGTGCATGGTCGGCGAGAGTCCTAACCACTGTGCCACCGACGCACAGTGGATTTTTGGTTATCATAATGGTAATATGAAGCCAAGTATGAGTTTCCATTTCTTTCTTTGTATAATATGTATCCAGATCATTTTGTCAATGTTGATGGCCGGTCGGCTACCTTATTTAAGCTTATTTAATAAAGCTAAAGATACTGAGAGGCCTTAGAATGAGCTACACACTTTGTGAAGACTAGTGATTCCATGTGTCTGTCGATACCTCTCTAGGTAAGACGAGGTTCCAATCCTCGACATGTTGATGGGAAACTGTGCTGGAGTGATTAAATTCCCGCTCCTTAACACAGGAATGGTCTGTTCTGCAGTTTTTGATGATTAGTTTAGGCCTGTTTCGTAACTAGCAGGGAATCAACTGGATGATTTCCACATCTTTTGGTTGCCCTTCAACTTTTTGTTTGAATTATTGCTCTTCATCAAATATTTTACTTCCAACCTCATACTCAAAACATGGCTTAATTTAAGGATCCTCACTTTTTCCGTAGTAAGTGCAATATATTCATCAATCAACACATTTGTTAGAATTTCCCAGGCTTAAATTGTACAAGAGAGATTTTGTTTAAGTGAACTTTTTAAAATATCGGTCTGTTCTCTGATAATGGGGATGTCTAGTGTCATACTGATATCTTGCTGTTTTTATCATGTTTACCGAAAATAAATGAACAGATGCGCATTTGAGTTATGGCGTTAATATGACCTTTAGTCAGAGACTGAAATTTACTTGTGTGAATATGCATGCATTCATATTTCTGCTATAAACTTTCACATCCCAAGTAATTGAATAAAATAACTTTATCCAACTTGCTAGGTAACAGATTAACCTTGTGTTAGTAAATGAGTGGTTTTTCACTTAGTAATGGTGATTTGCGCAAAATGATACGTAGGAATTCATTTAGGAAAGCCTTCTGTTTAGTGTTAGAATATTTATGAACTATCTGATGCATGTATTTAACAGTCACTTCATTGGTTAATTTATGCATGTGAAGTGTGATTATTATTTTTGTTTACTTTAGTTAATAATAATAATAATTTGCTTTATTCCAAAACAGTACATGTGATACAGAATGGAATTCTCAGCATTTTTACTACAGTATTGCATCCACTTAGTACATTATCAATAAATAGAAATTCTACATAGATTGAGGAAACCACAGTTCATTATTACAACAACAAATTGGCATGTCAGTAGCAAAGGTAAAGCTGAAACAGTGTTTGAAGGTGTTAGAAAAGTGGGAGCTGTCTTATTAACTGGCGTAAGCGAGAGAAAGAGACAAAGCAGCACATAACGGCCAAAAAAAATGAGAGAGAAAAAAGGAAAAGAAAGAAAGAAAATGTTGTACCTACAAATGATATGAGCTGGAAAGATGAGATCCAGTTGTACTGCTGACTATTTAATGAATTATAGGTGTCACGCCTAATGCTTTCTTTATCACACAGAACACGAGCTAAGTAGGGTATGGTTGAGTTTTTGTACTTGCTGGTGCGAGCATATAGTTTTCTATATTGGCTTCTTGTTTTACCTGATGAGATGCAAGGGGAGAGTTGTGAATGAAGAGGGTGTTGTGAGTTAGATAAAATGGATTTGGCCCATTTTTCACATGAGTCCATGTGCCTGTCAACCAAAATATTAACAAGCTGGTTAAGTGGCACGTTGCTTACTCTGCTGACGACATTTAATATCCTGCGTAATATGTTATAGTCTTTCTTCAGTAGCTCTGGAAAAACTAAGGGGGAACAATAGAGAATAATAGGCAGGATGCAAGAGTTAACGAATTGTAGGAGTAAGGGTTGGGTAATACCAGTTCCTAGAGGAACATAGGGCTTCAGTCGCACGTCTCCATTGCGTTCGGTTCTCTGCCAGCGTTTTCACCTGGCTCCACGTCTGCCCATATGTTTTCACCTCCTCCAAGTCACCCTTGCACGACCAACTCGCCGCTTCCCTTTCGGGTTCCACTCGAGCGATGGCTTGTCTAGTGATGTCACTTGATGGTTTCCTCAGAGTATGGCCAACCCATCTGCATTTCTTCCTGCCTATTTGTTTCACAGTCGGTTCCTGGTTGGTTCGCTCCCACAGATCCAACTCTGTTGCTGATCTTTTCTGGCCATCTGATCTTGAGTATAGAGCGAAGACAACTGTTAATGAAGGTCTGTAGTTTGTTTGAGATGCTCTTTATGATGCGCCAAGTCTCTGATCCGTATAGTACCACTGACTTCACATTGGAGTTGAAAATCCGGATCTTATTTTTGATGCTGAGTACTGTTGATCTCCACACAGGCTTGAGAGTAGTGAAAGCTTGTCTTGCTTTTCCGATTCTTGCTTTGATATCCTCTTCAGTTCCGTCCACCTGTAGTTGATACGATGCTTCCCAGGTAGGTAAAAGAGGTTGTTTCTTTCAGGTTCCTCCCATTTATGCTGATCGTTGTCTGTTGTTGTTGCTGTTGGCCAGGAATCTTCACCACCTCTGTTTTCTCTATGTTCACCTGAAGTCCTATCTTTGATGCTTCTTCTGCCAACTTGTTGCTTTTCGCTTGCATATCTTCCAGTTTGTGGAAAATCAGACATATATCATCGGCGAAGTCCAGGTCCTCCAACTTTTTTGTATGGTTCCATTTTATGCCTGTTTCCTCGATGCCCGCTGTTTGTCGCATTATCCAGTCTAGTGCAATCAGGAAAATCATTGGCGATAGTAGGCAGCCTTGTCTTACTCCTGTCCTCACTTCGAAGGATTCCGTGAGTTTCCTGTTGTGAATTACTTGGCATACAGCATTGTCGTACAGCTGTTGGATGAGATGTATAATTGTCGGTGGCACCCCGTGGTAGCGAAGTAGTTGCCAAAGCACCTCTCGATCGACGCTGTCGAAGGCCTTTCCAAAGTCGATGAAGTTGAGATAGAGAGGTGACTGCCATTCCAAGCTTTATTCAATGATGATCCGTAATGTAGCGATCTGATCAATGCATGACTTGTTTCTCCTGAATCCAGCCTGTTCCGGTCGAAGTTTTTCATCCAGGGCATGTTTGATTCTCTCCAGGATGATGCGGCTTAGTATTTTGCTTGGGATGGACAGGAGCATAATACCGCACCAGTTCTTGCATTGACTTTAGTTTCCTTTCTTTCGCAGTTTGAATAGGTAACCTTTCTTCCACTCTGCAGGTACCTTGCCCTCTTTCCACACCTTCTCCATTAGTGGCGTCATCAAGCCCGCTGATGTCTCTGGGTCCATTTTCAATGCTTCTGCTGGGATTGCATCTGGTCCTGCTGCTTTTCCAGCTTTTAGCATCTTGATTGCCTTCAGGACTTCTGACTCCGTCGGGGGTTTGCTGTTCACTGGTAGCTCTATCTCCGTTGTTGGTATTGCTGGGCGCGTTGTAGGTGGTGGTCGATTTAGGAGTCTTTTGAAGTGTTCAGCCCAGTGTTTCCTTTGCTCCACTTGTTTGGTGAGTGACTTTCCATTGTCATCCTTCACCGACTTAATTTGTGTGGAACTTTTGCCCGATAGGTACCTAGTTGTTCGGTAGAGTGTTGCGAGGTCTCCTTTGCCTGCAACTTGTTCTGCTTCACTTGCCATGGTTTCATAATACTTTCTTTTGTCTTCCTTGGCACTCTTCTTTACTCTCTTGTTCAGTGTATTGTAACTTGCATTCAACTCTTGTTTTTGTTGCTTGTCGATGCACTGGATAATCTTTTGTTTCAACATCCTTCTCTCTTCTATTAGTCCCCATGCGTCCGTACTGAGCTACTGTTTGTCCTGCATCTTCTTTCTGTCTAAAACTTCCATGCACGTTTGACTCCACACTGTTCCAGTATTTTTCAACGCTGGTCTCTTCGTTGGTGTTGATTTGTGTTTCCACCTTTTTCCTTATGATTGCAGTGAAGAAGTCCTTTGTGGCCTGATCCTTCAGTTTTTGAGTATTGAACTTGGCTTGTGGTCTATCTGCAGCTCCTGTTTCTCTGAAAGCTTTTAATTTGATTTAGAGTGTTCCTTGTACTAGATAGTGGTCTGAGCCAGCGTCTACTCTTCTTCTTACTTTTGTGTCCAGCAGGCTGCGCCTCCACTTCCTTGAGATTGAGATGAAGTCAATTTGGTTTTTTGTTCACACGTAAGTATGTGAAACATCATTTGAAAAGAATGTGGAAATCTAAATCAAAAAGAACATCATCCGAATTTTCAACACCAATGTTTCTGTATGGTTTAAAGACTTAGTGCGCTCATCACCAAAAGCATCCCCAACAGGCTTCTGCAGACTTTCATCAGCAAATGCCTTCGCTTGGTACTTAAGATCAGAACTGTGACAGTTCTGTGAAACAGTCAAGAACCCATTGCCTAACAAATATTGGGGGTGGACTAAACATACATTGATGTGTGACATCACACGCTAGGCCCTTGTGTGAAACCTGTGTAGGAAGCTGAACGTTGGGCGACCAACAGTGATAAGGAGTAGATCATGTGAATAAGAAATAGAAGCTCGTGGGCAGTGGTGAAGCCAGCTTGTAGTGGTGACAGAGAACCAAACTGATCGAAAATGTGCTGCCAAAGTCGTTTATTCCACTAGGAACCCAAAGAATAAATAATAATGAAGTATGTCAAACTATGTGGAAGTCAGTGGCTTTTTGTATAATAAATTGGGATTATCAAACCTACAAAATGAAAGGTTAAAAGTTATTTTC